CGTTCGGGCTGTTCGAGTGGCTACGCATGCCATTCGGTCTGTGCAATTCACCGCAGATATACCAACGGTTGATAGACAACGCGCTGTACGAGTTTTGGAAGCTGTCCCCGACGGAGAATACCCGCGATGTTATCAAAGACGGGATCCCGTCCAAGCCTGGAACGAGGTCCGTTTTGAGTCGTCGGTCGTACATTGATGATATCCTGATTGGGGGTACGTCGTGGGATGATTTGTGCAAGAAGGTGGAATGTCTCTTGGAAGTCTGTGAAGAATGGCATTTATCGATCAGCGTGGAGAAAAGTGAATGGGGAATGTCGAAAGTGGATTACCTGGGCCATGAAGTGTCGGAAGACGGACTCGGGGCGAAGCCGAAGAGCTTAGAGACCCTTGCGACGCTGGATTTCCCGGGTACGCAAAAGGGTCTACGGTCGTTTTTGGGTAGCCTTAACTTCTACTATCGTTTCATTCCGGGTTTCGCAGTCTACGCGGCCGCGCTCTACTCCCTCTCCGCCCGCGATTTTGAAGTGCGGGTCTCGAATCCTGAGACGCGCGATCTGGATAAGTGGACTCACGCGGTACGAGCTCCGTAGCAAAATCGCGATTACACCCACGTTGAAACATTTTGACACCGATAAACAGCCGGTGGTGATCGTGTACGCGAGTGACTGGGCCGTGTCGGCCGTCCTGGCCCAAAACCATGACGGGGTATACCTGCCTGTCAAGTTCACCAGTCGGATGTTGAAGCCCAACGAGTTGAACTACAGCATCGCTGAGAAAGAAATCCTGGCGCTATTACACGTCCTGAATGAATGTCACAACATGCTGGCGGGAAGGACGATCTGTGTCCTAACCCGACACACGACTCTCGGGTGGATCTTCCGCTCCGAGGGTCTCCAGGGACGACTTGCGCAATGGGCGGCAATCCTCTCACCGTGGAGGTTGGAGATTCTCCGATCCGTAAAAGGAGAGGAGGAAATCCTGGGCACATTGGCCGCGAGCATCACGCTGAGGGCCTACGCCAATGCTGCGCTAGAGGAGATCACGCCGCGAAAACGCCCGTCTAGGACAGCCCCGATCCCGGTTCCGAAGATCGGACCGGCCGAAAGCCTGCACGTGATTAGCTTCGACGGATCTGCTCGCGTCAAACGCGAGGGAGGGCATTCAGCGCCGTGGTATGGAAATTGCCGAACTGGGACGTGGTTCGAGCTGCATCGGGATATGTGGAAGGGCTCACCGTGTACGAGGCCGAATACCGAGGCATGCTGCTCGGTATCTCGCTGTTGGACGCCCTCGACGTTGCGCGACTGATCATCTGCGGGGGCTCCAATCTGGAAATACGCCAGATGCGGGGCGAGATGGACTGCAAGTTGCGCGGGCTGAAGCTGCTGAGATCGCAGGCATGAAACACACTGCGAGGATGGCCCCGGCATGAATTCCTCCACATTAGGCGAGACTGGAACGCGAGCGCGGACATGTTGGCCGGGCAGGCTCTTCAGCGCCAAGAAGACAATGATGTCTATAACGCGAGAGAGTTGGAGGATTTGAGGACCCTGAACCGGTTGGGAGAAGTGGTGCGCCCGACGACGCACGATGCGGAAGGCGGCGAGCACGTCTTGAAGACTGAGACGCGCGATCCAGACGACCCCGCCTTGGAGGCCGAGACGTACGATCCAGATAACGCAGGACGCGGGACGAGAAGAGTTTGTCCCGTGATCACACGCTCACGGGACGCGTCAAATCCAGCGCCGAGGAGACAACCGGAGGTCCTGAAAGTGCTCGAGGTACAACGACTCCGTCTGGATCGAGTCTGCACTGCGCAAGGGGAGGAAGCTTGGATCGTCAACCTCAAGAAGTTCCTAGACGGAGACATCAGCGAACTGTCCAGACGCGAAGCGAAGAATTGCGCCAAGATAGCGGAACAGTAAGAAGTGGGGGAGAGCGGTTTACTGTACTACCACGTACGTGGGAACGAGGCCGCCGAAAATCGGGATACGATCATGAAGCTTGTCGTTCCAGAGACTCATTGAGAAGACGTATTGCACCACTACCACGCAAGTCTGGAAGACGGGCATCAGGGCATCGGCAGGACGTATCAACGGACGACAACATTTCCATTGGCCAGGTTTGTTCAAGAGCGTACAACGTCACATTGGGGAATGCGTCGACTGTAAGACGGGAAAAGGCCGTCCCACGATCCGAGGAGAGTCGCCAGGCAACATAGTCGCGACGTACCCGTTCCAAGTCGTGGCGATGGACCACATCCCGTCACTACCGGCGTCACACAAGGGCAACACGGAACTCTCGATCTGGGTCGGCCTCTTCACGGGTTTTGTCATCGCACAGGCAAGCGCGTCTCGAACGGCTCAAACCGTCGCGGAATCGTACGAAGAAGCCGTCTTCAGATGATTTGGCGCCAGTGAAGCGATTCGTCACGACCGCGAGCCTGGTTACATGTCAGACTTCTTCGGAGCCTTTAACAAGCTGATGGGCCAGCGGCAACGTGCGACGCTCGCGTACCGTCCGCAAGCGAATGGGGCGGCAGAACGCATGGTGCAGACCATTGCGAGGGCCATCAAGATGTACATGGCCGACATTGACCAACGCGATTGGGACCAATACGCTGAACGACTGACGTATGCGCTTAACACGGCTCACGACCGAACGCGGGACGAAACCCCGTTTTTTCTCGTGCACGGCTGGGATCCGCGGTCTACGTTGGAAAGAAGCGACGCTAGTCGTAGGGAACACTTCGCATCGGGACGCTGACGGTCGTCGGTGGAGGATGCGTATCCAACGCCACTACCAAATAGCACGCGCCCAATCCCTGGAACTGGTCTGCGAGGCAGTGGACACGAGAGCAGCGCGCCAGAATGCGGACGCGACTGAGCACGCGATAGAACGGGGATCGCGAGTCTGGCTGTATCTGGATCCTCACGAGTCTGGCTGTATCTGGATCGAGTCAAGCCAGGGTACGCGCGGAAACTCGCGCACATGTGGCACGGGCCGTTCCGCGTTGTGGAATTGGTTAGCGCGTACGCTGTACGTCTAGAGACCAACGGGACTCCGTACCAGTTGTTCCCGATCGTACACGTCTCAAAGCTGAAACCCGTCCGAGAATTCCCGTCACGGCCTGAACTGCGGTTGACAGTGCCCGTCAATGAACGCTTTGATTTCGACGAGGAACTCCTTCCGGAGGACAGCTGGGAGACGCGCGATGTGGGCGAAGATGTGTACGAGGTGGAACAGATCTTAGACACGCGCGAAGGACGAATGACCCGCTATGGACGTACGCGCCGCAAGTTCCGTGTGAAGTGGCGTGGATATGACGAGACGAGCTGGGTCGATGAGTTGGACTTGAACTGCGGAGGACTCGTTTACGACTTTCTGCGACAACGCACAGGACGGAGTCGTTTCGGGGTGATGCAGTCCCATGAGGACGCGCCGGCCGGAGAATGAGCGAAGGTGAGCGTTGAGTCGACGGGGTGGCCGTCGACAGAAAGGATGGAGGAACCAGATACTGGGGCTGGCTGGAATCTGGGAAAATACAAGTGGTGGAAAGTCTGTAGGACCAGCTCGTTGGCCGAAGATAGAGCGACGAAGGGTCGCTCTATGAAAAAAGAGACAAACAAGAATGGAAAGAATGGATTCAAGATACACACACGCTCTGCCAAAGACAGACAGCTACGACTAGGTATATACCTAAGGTCGTCCACGAGCGATGAACTTGGACGCAAGGCGGCGGACGGAATACGCCGGATGCTCTTGAGTCACGGTGCAGTTGCCTGCAGCGTCGGACTGCGTACCAAAAAAACGACGCCACGGCTCGTGCGCGTCAGCCTCAGCCAGAGCAGCCTCCAGAGTGGAGTTTGTAGATCGGGGTACCAGCGGCCAACACTAGAGCGCCCCGGAGAGAACAGGGGCATCATCACGTCCAGCAACAAGTCCATATCCCGCGTCCCACTTGAAACAGAAGCACCAAGAGCTGGAACGCGCTCATCAGGTGATCCCCGGTGTGCGAGCGGCGCGAGTTACGACGACGACGCCATCGAGCCCACGCGGGAGAGTGGGGCACCGGGAGTTCATGCGTGGCCTCCCAATAGGCCTGCGCCCAATGGTCCAGCTGCATGTCGTAACGCACCAAGAAGGGCTGGAAATGACGGTCATTGACGTCGAAGATGAGCGGTTGGACGCGACGAGCGAGATAGTCCCACGGACGGGTTGCATATAGAGCTTCAACCGCCCTCTCGGTCAGCACTGTCCGGTCCCAGAAGCCCGGCGCCGGTGAGGCCGTAGTAGGAAAGATCGAAGACCGTGGAGGTAGATGATCATCACGCAGCATTCGTGCAGTGAGAGACGAGAGCGTAATGTCGCGCAACGCAGGATGCCAGAGTGTGTATCGACTCCGCGTTCACTCCGCCCGATGCTGAAAAGGTGGAATGACGGGCGCGAAGAACGGTCGTGTGGCGAGTATAACGCCAATGTCAGGAGAGGAATCGGGCGATCCGTCGCCCGGAAGAGCCCCGTCACCGGCGTCGGAATTCTTGCTGTCAGAGAATAGGTGGTCCCCACCTGCATCGGTCCCGTCGCCAGGTGTACGGGTGTGATGGAAATCTGGAGACGCGGGGTCCGACGAGGGAGGTGTGATACGACGCCTCTGGCGAGGAGACGGGTGGGCTGCCGAGCCTGCGCTCTCAGACCCAGAGGATACCGGATGGGAACGTGGCCCAAGACTCTGGTCCGTCGCTGGAGACGTGCCCCCACCAGATTGCGTCGCGGCGTTATCCGAGGCGGCAGTGTCAGCGATCGTCGACGACCGACCACTCCGCCTCAAACGTTGGACGCCTCGACCACCTCGACAAGAGAGAGTGGGTCCTCCCGGGCCCGATGCGCGCGAGGACGACTCTGACGAACCAGCGGACGGTGCAGGCCTCGCAGCCTGAGTCGTAGGAGGGCAGACGGAGTCGACGCGGTGCCACCAGCAGACTGTGCCGAGATGGAAGGCGACGACGAAGGCCCAGTCGAGGACACAGAAGGAACCCGAGGAAGTCGTGGAAGCCGGAAGACTCGCTGGAGGAACCGACGCCGCGGAAGACGTGTCGGACGAACGAGAGTTGACAGCACCGGTCGACGCGGAAGTCTAGACAGCGTGGGCAACCTCGACACGGGCGGTGCGGCGGCGACGAGAAAGCGCGTTCTCCAGCGACACCAACCTAGCTTGTAGGCGATGCCCGTGGTCCTGTGCTTGAGTCCGTCGTTGAGACGCGGCACGGCGCGAGCACACGAGAGCCGTGCGGAACGCATCAGTGCTCAATGTAGCCGGAAGCAGAAGAGCCTGCGCGTCGTCACGAGCGGCTTGCGCAGTAACGCGGTCCGTCTCAGCAGCGGAGGACGAAGTCTCTATGTAGTGGGCCTAGGGCTCACTAGTTAGCTTACACGGTGCGCACGTGTAGGAGGAAACGTAGGTTTTCCTAGGTTCTATAGTGTACACACGATGCGTGTGTACAGTAAAAGAAGATACGAATAAGATAGCGTAAAATGAGAACTGTATTGTTTCGTTAAAGGGTTTCCTTCCTAAACTGTTTATCAAATATCTAAGGGACTGTCAGCGGATGGCTGACAGTGATTCACATCGCTGATTGGTAGAGGTGTGGCGCACTCTACCAATAGGATCCCTTCAAATGCAGTCTTGGTGTGTGAACACACCAAGACAGGAAACCTCAAACTCTAACCGGTTAACGTTACGGTTAGAGTTTCGTGTAACCCCGTTACATGCTTTCTCCCGCTAACTTCTTGACGCCCGCCGAAGTGGAAGAGATGTCGCTGACTGGCGTCATCTCCGGGGTCACGACGCACACAAACACTGGCATGGCTTTGGCTCCCGTCAGTTGGGATGCGCCGCCTGTCTACGGCGGCCCCGACATTCATCTGGTCGGCGTACCTGCGTCGATCGTCGCGATGCAAGGTGGCGCCAAGGTGTATCCTGGGCATGGTGACCTGAAGGTGCTCCTGTGCTTCGAGAGTCTGTATGCCACGGATCTCCAAGACCTCAACGCGCTCATGGGCGGAGACGTCGCTGACTGCTTGCCGACGTTACGTCAACGTGTTGCGCCTGCTTCCCTCGCCGCAGAGGTGAGCTCTATCGCGGGTCAGCGCGAGTTAGCTGCGCTATTGGGCCAGTTCCCGCTGGATCGCCTGGCGGAGAGGATGATCAACTCGATATTCTTC